TGGTTGTTCCCGCTTCCTGGGGCAGCCGACGCCACAGAAAAGGAGCTGATATTTGCTCCAACAGATGGTAGAAACGTACAAACTGAGATGAAGACAATAAAATTATGGCTCGATGGGAATAAACTCTCATTAAACACTGATAAATCATGTTTCATGATATTTAGTAAAAGTAACTCGAATGATACAAGTCTATTGAATACAGATGATGTTAATATTACAAGAGTAAAAGAAGGGAATTTGTTGGGATTTATAATCGATGATGATGTATGTTGGAAGCCACATATAAACAATGTGAAAACTAAAATAGCTAAAACAATTGCAATGTTACGTAGAGTAAAATGGTCACTGGATGATATCGCCCTATATTTATTATATAATTAAATTATTGCACCATATTTGAAGTATTGTATAGAAATCTGGGGCACAACATATAAAACTTATACAAATGCTAAGCAATAAGAATCATTACAAGGAGTAATTACAGAGATCCGTCTGAGCCGTTATTCATAAAAACAAAAACAGTAAGATTCTACGACCTAGAGGACGACAATATTTCTAACTTTATGTATAATGCAAACAAAAAAAACTTCCTACAAATGTACTTAGATTTATAAAAAGACAGAGTAAATATGAACTAAAAGGACATGAATTATTTACAATACCTAAGTGTAGAATAATTATAAAGGAGCGCCGTGTCTCTATATATGGAGTTAAATATGGAATAAGCTAGGTAATGTAATCAAGGACGCAAAAACAATATACTTTCACAAAACGAATTAAAAATGAAATACTGGAATCATGTACGTGCAAATCAATTATATAAATAAAATATAAATAAATAAATAAATAAAGCTATAAGGTGTGTGTAGGTACATTCATGTGTGTATGTATAAATATGTATATATGTGTGTGTATATGTAGTGGATACGTGTGCATGTCTATATGTATATGTATAGGTGAAGTATGTGCGACCATATGGGCATGCGATGCACTTTAATGTATACATGTATGAATAGGTATATGTGCAAAAATCCTTTTGCTTTTTGAATTATTATTATTATTATTATTATTATTATTATTATTATTATTATTAATTTTCTCTTTCTTCTTTACAAATTGAACTCAAGTCAGCTAACCAGATGAGCAATTACTTTGCGTAGGCTAATTTATAATTATAGTTATTTCATTGTAAAAATGTCATTTTAGTTAAAAAGGGGCAGAAAACATAAGTTTTCTTCTTTCTGTTCCCGTTTCATTTTCCTGGTTTGATTTGAACTGTTGCATGCTGGGAGAAGCGACGTCAACTCCCGGAGCTCTACATACCGTAAATCCTCTAATACAGGCCCGGGCCTGTATTAGAGGATTTACGGTAGTATAATAATTATATTAGTGAGAGATCCTGGCTCCTCAGTTAGAAAAAATGGGTCTGAGTTTATTTTTGAGTCTGAGTTTCTGCTGGAGGAAAGGAAAGAGCTCCTCCGACTAACACAGTCTCAGGGGTCACCCTGCTCCGTTCGAAAGAGCCAGGCTCCTGGAGGTTAACAGCTCTACGAGTGGCTCCCCCCATCCCTGCAGTCTGGCTGTGTGGGAGCCACTCAATCCAGTTCAATTCAAAAATACTTTACTAATCCCAGAGGCAAATGAGTGACTAGTGACGTGATTGTCACGTTTCGGGGATGTTTAGGACCCAAATATGCAGAAACCCGGGAGGACACGAGGCAGGAGTAGATATAAGGAAAACATCCTTTTATTAGAGGATGAACAAAAATAAATCCAAGGCAACGAGCCTAAAGTCCAAAGTCCTGGAGCACAGGACACCCAAAGCTCTGAAAGAGCACGAAGACCAAAGAGTTTGAAACAGAAGCTCACCTAGAGCACAAAGTCTGGGGACGAGACAAAAATCTCATAAAGAGCACGAACAAACGCAGACAGAATACAAACAAGACAAGACACTGAGACAAGACAGGGCTTAGATACACGGGGAGGATGAGAGGGAGATGAGCTGCAGGTGTGTGGGGTGTGGGAGGAGGGCCAGGTGAAGGCAGTGACCAATCAGGGGAGAAGCTAACTTGACCTAAAACCCAATACAAAAGAGCAGGAAACATAACTGCAATTCACAGGGAGGGGGAGAAAAATAATAAACACTGATGGGAAAAAACAAACTAAATCATGAAAGGCCGTAACTAAAGGAAATGACTTGAGCAACCTAGAGGGCTGGAGATGTAGGGGCAAACGGGGAAAACCAGACGACACATGAGGAAGACGCAGACATGACACATGAGGGCGCTAGAGGACACAAAAGGAGCACCTAGAGAACGAATGGAGGACACAAGGAGACACATGAGGGGAGACGCAGACACAGACCATGACACTGATGTTCACAAACGAGTCACCAAGCCCCCCCCCCCCCCCCCCCCCCCCCCCCCCCAGGTGCCTGCTCTTCGGTTACTGCCGTGTTGTTTCAGCTGCTGACAGAAATGCTGTGGAGGAGGTTTATCTTGGAGAATCAAAACAGGAAGCTGTCATGTTTGGGTTGATGTGTAGTGTTGTGTCGGAGCTCTCATGTGGGTCTGAAGCCCCGCCCACCCACCTGTGCTTTAACCATCACAAGGTAACTAGAGGAAGGCAGGAGGTAAATGTAGATGCAGACTGACCAAACATGACCTGAAGGGTTTTTATACTTTAGTCAAGGAATGAGTTCACACGAAGGGGGCGGGGCTTAAACCTGCAATGAAACCAGTCCCCGGGTGTGTATATTTATGGATTCATGTGTAAACATGTGACTGATTCATTATGCAGCTCGTCATTCATCTGGTTTTCCTCTCCTCACCTCCTCAGAGGTCTTTCAGACATCAGATGTTTGTAGGCTCCACAAAAACAACAACAAACAACCTTCGTTCTGTTAGCTGTAATTAATAAACACAACTGAAGAAGCTGTTGTTCTTGGTTTGTTGGTGGTGAGAACCTCTAAGAGATCAAATAAAAGGACTAGTGGAGGATGATGGTGTGTGTCTGCAGGGACCCGTGGGACCTCCGGGGGATTCTGGTCCTGTCGGCCCAAAAGGCTCAAAGGTCAGAACACTCCCTCAGCACAGCTGATTTCATGTGAGCAGGTTTTCTTCTGGGTTTCACGTTGCTGTTGGTTTCAGGGGGAACGTGGCGCTCGTGGGCCTCCTGGAGCACCTGTGAGTACGCTCCTTACAGCCTGATCTCTTCCTGTCATCGCTCAGCTGTGCCGAGTCAGCTGGTGTGTAAATGGGATGTCTCTCTCCCTCACAGGGCGTGGGACCTGACGGACTTGATGTGAGTGTTCTGCCCAGCTGCGGGTCGGTGAACCAGCGGTACTGAAACGTTGCTGTCGTGGCACAAAGAGGCACGATCTGCAGACCTGGGATAGAAAAACAGACCAACAAGTCACGCTGAAACGAGTCTTTAACGTCTGACTTTATTCTCATCAAAGCCCTCCTGATGCAGCAGCAGGACTGGACCTGCAGCACTGGGTCCATTTGAAGGATTTTACTTTTATTCCAGATTCCAGGCGTAGAAAGTAGAACCTTTTCATGTGAAACCAGGTGATGAGCACTCGGAGACTCTGTGTCTGTGTTTCCTAACAGGGTATTCCTGGTACGGATGGACTTCCAGGTGAAGTGGGAAAGGCCGGATCCCCTGTGAGTAAACCATCACGGCGTATGAAAATGAATGGCTGCAAGCTGAAGCGTGAGCGCAAACATGTGTGTCCAGCTGCTGATTCTGGTTCTGTCACAGGGAGCCAAAGGGAGGAGAGGTCCGGTGGGTCTTCCTGGTCCTGCTGGTTCTCGGGTAAGCATCACTCTCATCCTCTGCTGGAGATTTAGGAAAAGCAAACGTGTGTGTGTATAAGTGAGAGGAGCCGGCCCATAATCAGGTCGATGGCTTCAGAAACTGGCCTGCAGATCCTCCCAGCAGTCCCAGTAAAGCTAACGTGTTTCAGTCCGTCCCACCGCCAGCTCGGGCCTCGGCTCTGAAAGGTGACTACTGTTCTTTTGGGATTTTCAGGGACCGCCGGCTGTTTATCAGGGAGAGAACCTGGTGAGTAGATGATTTTTTATTAAAGACAGATTTCATTTGATGAAAACAAATATTGTGTAAGTCCAATCACAAGAAGACACCACTCACACACGCTCAGGGGCACAACCATCATCTCAGACGTGAGGGGCACATGTCCCACGCATGAATTACGCCCATGCTCAGCTAGAATCCTGAAACAGTGGTGGGCAGGTCCAGCCCATCCTTCACACGACTCACCTGATTCAGGTGGCTGAGTTACTTCTCCAGCAGCTCAACTTCTGCTGACTGTCAGGTGTGTTGGAGCTGGAGCCTCAGGAGGAGATCCGAGGATCACCACGACAGGTTAGGCCTAACCCTGACCCTGTACCCACGTCACATCACAGACGTGTCGGTGTGAGCATCCTGTATATGTGTCGATGGTCCTGTCACAGCGTCCCGACTGATCATGCGCCCTGGCTGCTTGGCCAAGGGGGTGTCCCTTTGGCTGACTGGTTAGCGCGCGTGACTCTCACCCGGGAGTCTGGGGATCCCGCCCGGGCCCTCGCTTCTCCACCCTGCCTCACACACATCACATGTAGCTTTTGAGCTGTGGAGAACCCACGATGTAAAGGAAGCTTAAATACAGAAACAAAAGGATAAAAGATGATAGGAGAGCTTGAGCCGCAGTAAGTCGGGCTCGTTCCCAGTGAGAGTTGGACTCCGCCAAGGCTGCCCTTTGTCACCGATTCTGTTCCTTTATGGACAGGATTTCTAGGAGCAGCCAAGGTGTGGAGGGCATCCGTTTTGGTGGTCTAAGGATCAGGTCTCTGCTTTTGCAGATGATGTGGTCCTGTTGGCTTCATCAGAACGTGATCTTCAGCTTTCGCTGGAGCGGTTCACAGCCGAGTGTGAAGCAGCTGGGATGAGAATCAGCTCCTCTAAATCTGAGACCGTGGTCTTGATTCTGAAAAGGG